TGTACCTGATTGGCTCTTTCTTGTTGGGAGCAATCAAATCAGAAAAGTAGCACCTGTGATATCCACAGATGCCCTAGAAAAACAAGCATTCAGAAATATCAGGTGGGCTGGAATTACTAAATTATTTTTATCTACCAAGACCACGCTTAAGGCCTGGGACATTGTTTTTAAAAATGACCAGTCTCCCAGTTTATATAGAGCAATGCCTATTGAGTTATTGAAAGATTATATACCATCCTTAAAAATAGAATTATTGAAGGATTGCTCTATAACTAATCTGGACAAATTTTTTTATGGCAATGCTATTCTTTCTTTGGAAAAATTGAAGCTTTAGTATGGATTGTCAAATGTATGTGAACTGGAATGTATGCTAATCATTGATAAATTGAAAGAACTATATCAGGTACCTGAAACAGATAAAAACTATAAATCACTTGAGTTATCTCCTTTAGAGAAAGGTTTTTTATACAGCCCCGCTAGTAAAGGTATGATATCCTTATGTTACTTATCTCATAATGCCAAGCCCTTAATTAAATTAAAACATATGCTGTCATGGGAGACGGAGTTGGGTGCGATTTAGAAGAATGGTTCGGTTTCTTTAAAGGTTTAAAAGGTATTTCGTATTGCACCGACCATTTTGAAAATCATTATAAAATCTTATATCGTTGGTACCTGGCTCCGTCTAGATTACATAACATGTACAATATGTTTTCTGACCGGTGTTGGAGAGACTGTGGGGAGTGGGCAATATGGCCCATATCTGGTGGTTCTGCCCCAAGTTAATTAATTATTGGAAAATGATCCACCATCTGATTATTAAAGTGAACGGAACCATTAGTATCTTAACCTCGGAACTAGCCTTATTTAAAAAACTCCCCGAGTCCGTTAATAGATCAGATAAAATAATCATAGGTCACATTCTGCTCGCTGCTACATCCTGTTTACCTAGACATTGGAAGTCTCAAAATGTGCCATCTCTCAGAGAAGTTTTTAATTTGATTTTAGAAAATAAGGCACATGAATTATCACACAGAGCCAATATGCATGGTTTCCCAATACTAAAATATAACTGGGATAAATGGGAAGAAAAAATCAAAACAGTTTATGGTCTTTGATATATTTATTGTTAAAGTGCATTGTGTAAAACATTTTTCTTTTTGCCATATACTTTAATATGTTTATTTCATTGATGGATGGATACCCCTTCCCATTTCCAAGTTACCCCTCCTTTCCTACCCCTAATACAATGTTTGTATTATTATAATTTGTTATACAAAAAACTTTAATAAAAATTATTTGAAAAGAAATATCAGGTGGGTTAGAAATAAAACAGACAATACCCCAAACGACACAATTATAACCTTAAGCTTGACTAGCTTTTCTAAAGGAATACCTACCCTGGCGTGTTATACTACATAAACATTACCTACTAGCCTGTCAACCTCATATACATAGATAAGCGGGTTACTTATATATATAATAAATGCGTAGACCAACATGTGACCTAGCCACTTGAATCGTACAAAGCTTAAAGTTGTCTTAAATGATCCTTAAATGATAAAAACATGCTAAGTTTAAATAAGCCACGAAAATGTTTTTGAATGTCGTATTTGAAGGCGTCTGTTACGGCTATTGTGGCTATGCAGACACTGTTGTAAATTCTTGCACGACAAAAATAAAGAATAAAAAAAAAAAAAAAAAGACAATACCCAAACATGCACAGTATGAACCCTCCCTTAATTAGACAGGTACAAGTAAAGTAACGTATTACCGGTCCGCAGAACAGTGAGGCTTAACATATGCACAAGAGAGTCAAATAAAGGACAAGTTAGAGACAAGCCAGAATCAAAGGAAGCCAGAAATCCGATATGCAACATTAATAACCGGGACAATACCAGAGGTCAAAATGGTCAAGGAACAGCTGAGTCAACAGGGCAAAGAGAATAAGATATATGTACATACGTAGTTGCAGAAATGATGAAGGGACCCTTCAAGTGACACATGTACAGAGCATCCCGCATCATAAATGACGCCAGAACGACACATGGCATCAGTATGGGCATGAGAATGACGCACTCTATGTGATGTGCTGTAGCTACATCCTTAAACCCAAGTAAGAAGTCAAATCATTCTAAAACAGCTTGACTACTTACAATGGTGGTGAGGTAGTCATGGTGGATGGAGTGTTGATTTAATACAATGCTGATGGTCACATTAGTTGACCCAATAGTTCACACAATGCTGCAGTATACTTTTTGTACACTAGAGTTCAGTAAAGAGTTATAAATAAAATTTTAGCGTAAGGTTGAGCACATCTATGCATTCCAGAGTTGTCATCTGAACTATTTTTGCACAGACGGTGTTGTTTACACTGCAACTAGGTATATGAGGTAGGGGAATACAAGTAAGAAGGCCGTCACCGGTTACCTTTAACCTCAATAGACATTAACACAACAGCTTATTCACACTCTTGAGAAAGTGTTGGAGAATTCATGGACCATTCATAGCTACACGGAATCCCTAGTCCTAAAGCACTGCCTTCTGTGGGTTTCTTAAGGGTCAAAAACAATTGCCTCGTGGGACATGTCATTTTTTTTCTGTTGACTTGATTTCACTGACTGTAGAGAGTTTTTTGTTACATTTTTTTTTGCTGTCATAAACTAGCATTGTTTATATATATATAATTTTTTTTAATTATTATTTATTTATTTTTTAAACACAACCACTTTTCTAGTCCACTGTGTAGTGTTTATGCAGTAGTCGTGACACTGCTGCAAACTCGTTATACATATTCCAGTCATTATAACTCATAGAGTTGAGCAATATAGTGATACTTTTTTTTTGTTTACAAATAATATATCTGTCAGTAAAACATGCCTACAATTACAAATCCAGACCACTAAAAGTGTTAATTAGTTGAAAATTATTTAATTAGACTACAAATGAATTTTCTGTGGTATTGCAATAAAGTACTCCAACCACCATGACCACTTTAGAAGGGCTGCACAAAATGTTACATCAGGAGACATTTGCATTTTTGCACCGGGGACTAGTTGCACCTTCAGGAAAGATGACTTTTTAAAAAAAAATTGTTAATTCATACAAATGTGTTTTAAAGTAGCAATCTAAGTACCATAACTACTAAATCATATTGTAAAATTGGTCATGGTGCTAGTAGGCAGTGAGTATCAATGTCTATCTATGTCAATGTCAGAGATGAGACAGAAATCAGGGGATCCCCAGACACCTTGCTAATGCAGAATTTACAGTTCAATATTTACTATCAATATCAATTTTATCCTATCACTGTCATCCAAACACGGACAAAATTGAAGCCGCAATCCACATAACATGAACTTACAATGTATCACGATCTGTGTTGTGTTCTGTATTCATTAGCATTGCGTGTTTTTTCTTCTTTTAACATTTGCCTGCAAAGAGACATGTCCCATCATGCTTTTCAATATAAAATGTATACTTTTAAATAGAAAAGCATGATGGGACATGTAAGCCCTAAATAATTTCTTTATTTTTACTAAATTATTCTACCTTTAAGTAACTAAACACCGTAGGTGATAAAGAGTTTGCACGGTTGTGATTTACATCTATTTTATGCAAAAAAAAAAAAAAAATTCTAAGAAATTAAACATTGCCTTTTTCCACTCAACAATCGCTAGTGATGGCTGCAGGTTTGACAAAGCATGCCTTATATAATTCAGGCCCCAAACTGTATCTTGTAGGTTTACCTGCAAACTGTACATTTGCAGGTTAATAGTAATGACTAAAAAATTTTTAAAAAGTGAGTGTGTGTGTGTGTAAGGGGAGGAGGGGGAGGGGAGGGGAGGAGGGGATATTCAGACCATAGCCTCTTGATAAGGAGAGTAAGAGCAGTAAGAATTGTGTGGGTTAATTTATGGAAATATGTGTTAGGGAAACATCCAACTACTCATTCCATTTCAATTCCCGAATTATTATTTACATGTATTAGTGTGTTTTAATTGTACGTCTTTAACACATGGGTTGGTCATAAAAAACCTGTGATTTCAGATGTTGTTTCCTCTTACTCCCGTGACATCTTGTCAATCCTGAATAACGAGCCTAGTTTATTGTTAGTGATGTCTCATATATTGGCTGAGAATGTTGGCTGTAGGGAACCATGAGATTTCTAACGTTCCACACCATATTATAAATTAGAATTGTGCACACTGGAAACATTTGATTCCGATGAAAAAAATAAATATTTAAGTCGTTCGTCCACGTGGGCTTTTTGGTCCA